GAATAGGAGGCTGGATGAGCCTCAGAGACGGTCTGGACAACATGGAGAAGTGAATATTCTTGCCACCACCGAGACTCGAACTCCGACCCCTTGGTCGTCCTACCCGTATCCAGTCGCTATGCAGACTGCACTATCCCGGTTCATTCACTTTACGCGTAAATAAAACAAATATGCGAGAGCTTTTTAGAGTTGACTGCTAAATGACAGGTTTAATCAAATTAATTTCACTATCAGTAAATCACGACGTCGTGCGCACCACGGCACAAATGCTCGTTCGAATCTCAGCTTCACACCATGAAGACATAATGGGAGGAGTGGGAGCAAAAGATGTAAATGAGTGGCCAACGTCATGACCCGGATAAACCCTGATAACCACTCATGCTACAGGGCTAAGCGGATGTCTACGTTTGCCTGAGCGCCATGAAAATGAGATAAATCTTTACCGTCAGGGAATCGAATTCAGGGCGTCCCATCCGGTAGACTAGTCATTATACAGTCACAGCAACAGCGGCACCTTACTGCATACATCTACCAGAAAACGACTAGGCCCATATACGTAATAAGAAGTAGTCACTTGTAATTTGGATCATAAATATGACGGATGGGTTGTGCGGCACAATATTTTATGAACTAGCGCGCGTGTTAACCCGAAACCAGTGTGAAACTGAAACAGAGAGACCACTACAATCACATTTCAATATAGACCATCATGTGATGTCGAATTTGATTCTAGCCAGCACGAACAGCTTCTGCTACTATATAACGGGTCGTTGACCCACAACCTGCAGCAGAGGGACAGAACAGGTTGTGACAAAACCAGTAGCTCCCTCCAGCTGCAATTACTTCACACTTCCCTACATCTGCCAACACTGTCAGGGGTGCCAAATGCATTTACGAGCAATGAAAGGTAGCAAATTATAACAACCTTGTCTTTTAGCCCTGTGTAAAAAAAAAGTATCCTTGCAAGAGGCCGTGGAGGCACATAGGGTTGTGAGAGGTTGAGGTTCCCAATGTTCTATAGACCAGGCATGTCAAACTCAACTTGTACAGAGGGCCACCTCAGCCCTATAAATAATAGTCCAGGGCCGAACTTCAAAATAGAAATATACATTAGATTTTGATACAAGGAAATTTAATTATATTTATTATTAAGGAATAATTTCAATATAATTACCTAAATTCACATATCTTACAGTTTTAAAAAGCAAGAGAATGTCATTTTTGACAAGTATCAAACAGCTTTTCAATATGTAACAAAAGAGATTACACAAGAAATTATGTTAGAAATAGCAAAACATTGAATTTCCTGCAGCCTGCTAATTTATGTCTGCGTGAGACTTCTCTTCTGGTCTGCTGGAAAATTGTCTTTAGAAAAAATATTTCTACTAAAATCTTAATGTTGATTTTAATATCAATTAGCTCTAAAAGTTGAGGGGCCGCACTTTGTGGCTATGGGGGCCGCATGTTTGACACGGCTGCTCTAGACAATCGGCTCACAGATAGCGGTCAGGTTGTCAGCCTTACGCGCCAGCCACCCTTCAGTCCCAAGAATATTCCTGGTACTCATTTCTGTTAGAAGCTGAGTCGACCCCGGGGACATAGTGCGGCTGGAAGGATTAGGTAAATTGAAAAAGTCCAACTCGTCGGGACTCGATCCGGGGACCTTCCGGCTCATGGAGCCGTCAGTATCTAGCCTATAGCTTCGAATGGTAGGATAGCTGATGAATCGTAAACGATAAGAATGGGGCGTAGCCTAATCGAAGTATACCTAGCCATCTGTCTGAAGGGACTCAGGAAATCACGAAGTCCTCAGTACAAGCATGTGCCCCGACCGACAGTCGAACAAGTATCTCGCAAATACGAGTCTACAGCGTTACAGCCTCCCCGAGTGCATTTACGTGTTTCGTCTCATTCTCAAACCAAAGAGTAATTACGCACTTCTCACAACAGCACTGAACGAGTGGTCTTGGCAGTGGGACCTATTGCTGAGATGCATTTCAAGCCTCAAAGGGCTAAATAAGATGAAGTTGCAAATTCTTCCCCGTGACCAAGCAGCAAGCCATGAAGACACAGCGGCATGGATATAAGGATCCAGGCATTATTTAACCTAATCACTGGGAACAATGAGGTCAGCATCACGATCCAGCCGGTTTAGCTTTGGGAAAAGGGCTACACCCGAGAATCAGCCTGAAGATGACAGTGAAGAGAAAATGCCATGCCCCTGCTATGAATCGAACCTCCATCACTTGAGTGAGTTACGCCTGTTTGGGTATACGCGGCTTGTGCTCCTCGACCCTATCCGTGAACCATACACAGAACAGATCATGTAAAATCATGCGCATCTTATTTTGGGTGACTGGACATTATATACACGTATTTCGTGATATACTGACTCTCCACTTTTTGGACCGGTTCTGCAAATCTGTTTCGCTCTGGATCTGACAGAAAACTTCGCTCAGAGGTTCTTCACTTAATACGTTACAGACAAAGGGAGAACAGAGGACAGAAAGAAAGGCTACAAGATAAAAAATCCTGTTGCGTTTTGTTCTTCATACAAGCCATGCACTGGATGAGTATCGAAAATGAATTTAGAAGACAAATTGAGCTGCAAGAAATGTCTGCATGAAACCTAACCTCCACGAGGACTTTAGCTCAAGCGGTTAGTCGCTGCCTTCCCACCGCGGCGGGCCGGGTTCGATCCAGGGTCTCGTCAAGTGGGATTTGTGGTGCACATAGTTGCGCTGGGGCAGGTTTTCTCCGAGTACTTCGGTTTCCCTTACCAATCTTCATTCCACCAATTTCTCCGCAATCACCCTCACCTATCATCTGGGGCTGGTACAATAGGCCAGAAGTGGCCGCAGTACAAGGGACTTAGTCCCACCCCACTAGCAATAAAAAAAATCTCAGTATTTCCCTGGAGATGCTATTAAGAACAGAATCCCAGAAAGACCAATCGGTCTTCGAGAGGCACAGAATACAATGAAAGTAAGTACAAGGGAAGACAGCTAACTTCACACAAGACGTTTCATGTTTTGCTGGAAACTTGGGGGATATCATTACTGTTTCTACACACCCGGTAAACAGGCGTCTTCGTTTAATTAATTGTGTAGTTTACGTGGCAAGAAGTTGTGCATTATCCAGATGATAAACCCCGCCACATGACTGGCAACAAGGTCTGTCACAAAGTGAAACTGCGAAACTGGAACTCGTTCCAATCATGTATTATTCCCGATCAGCACATGACTAAGCTGGCCACGCCACACACAGCCCACTGAAACGTGTGAGCCGCTCAACGCAGCTTCAGCCGTTAACTTCGCTTACTTTCACTGTTGTGGGGAAACAGGCTGATTAAACAGGCAATTACTTGATTAAACAATCTCCTGCCGTGTGGGAATATCCGGGCCGTAAAGTCATTGGTTACAAGATGATCGACAATGGTTCGATTCTCGGCAGGGTCATGATTTTCTTCAGCATCAATTCTGGCCAGTTCTAGCCAACTACATCTGACCTGTCCTAAACCGGCTGGAGATTTAACATAGCCTATGACTTCGGCCTAACGCTAAAAGAAAACGTGGAAATGTACAATGACTCCAAATAGAGACATTCACTGTGTAATGATTTGGGAAAACGATAACTTTATAAGTAAGCGTGCCTTTCTTCGATGCAAATGAAGGGAATGCGTAATGCGGATGTCTTACAAAACCACTCTGTCTGCCGACAGGAGGAAATCTGATTTGGTGGTGGTGGAGAGAAGTTTATTGGGGAACTCAGTATTAATTACTACAATAATTGTTACATTCCAAAATTGTATTTGGAGAACAATACTGCAAATGATCTTATCGCTACACCAACGGAATATATTCAACACATCTGCAGATGTAACGTAACCTAACCTTCCACAAAATTTTTAGAAAACTTTGTTTAAGGAAAGGCTTCCGTATTACTTCATTTCACCATATCGATGCCGTAGTTCAACATTGTTCTATTGGCAGGACGTGTCCCACTGGCGGAAACTGACAAGCGTGTGCGTGCGACGTCCTGAAATCAATCGGCCTGATTTAATTCACTCTCCTAGTTCTTGAAAATGCTTGGCTAGTCATTTATGATTATACTAAACAAATATACTGGTTTTACATAATTCTAGCAATAAAATATATAACAATTATAACCTTCTTCGAGCTACTAAGAATTTTCATTGAGTGTTAATACTAAAATGTCCATATTTGTAAGAATACACTTACCAGAAAAGGAAAAACTTTTGTCTGTGGTGGGACTGATATCTTGACATGATTCTGCAATAAAATACACAACTGGAAAAGAGCCTGGAAAACACATGACTGTCGGCCAATACTGTTTCGAGGCGATCAGCTCTGAGCGCTCATACGAGGGATTATTAAATCGAGGCTGTACTGTTGAATATGGAAGGGTATTTTCTTTTCTCTAAAGCGTCGGGACTCGCTCTGAGCTCACACATCTTATCCAACCATGTGTGCCGTGAGAGGGGGGGGGGATATTTCTAAGTGTATGAAGCGTCCAAGGCGTGAAACCAGCCGCTTGCCTCAATCCAGTGCCGCGGTTAAGACTGTGCGTACTGAGCCTGCATCACAGATATTCGTCAGCTCTGTTGAATAAAGCGCAGACCAATCACAGCTCTTTCACGTTATATTACTTCTGCACACCGTTATACTGGTCTACAAATGAGTGGTCCAAAATGTTCGGCCAGGACGCAACGCAATTCGGGTCAGTGTGACACAGCAAATATTTCGAGAGTTCTTCAGACACCACAATCTGATATGAAAATATATGATGAAATGTCTGCCCCAGTTCCTTCGTAATATTTACTTCGATAATAACAAATCCGCTTGATCAGTGATATAAATTATACTGTCCTTAAAAGTAATGTTTCTACTTTCCAACATATGATGTTCAGGGAAGTATGTTTGCGTGCGTTTAGAGGTCCTTCGGTACTGACAGCTACATGTGTCTGTGTCACAAGCTACATGTGTCTGTGCCACAAGCTACATGTGCCTGTATGTCTGTGTCATAAGCTACAAGTGTCTGTGTCACAAGCTACATGTGTCTGTGTCACAAGCTACATGCGACTGTATGTGCCTATGTCACAAGCTGCGTGTGACTGTATGTGCCTGTGTCACAAGCTACATGTGCCTGTATGTGCCTGTGTCACAAGCTACATGTGTCTATGTCACAATCTACATGCGACTGTATGTGCCTGTGTCACAAGCTACATGTGCCTGTATGTGCCTGTGTCACAAGCTACATGTGCCTGTGTCACAATCTACATGTGTCTGTCACAAGCTACATGTGTCTGTGTCACAAGCTACATGTGCCTGTATGTGCCTACATGTGTCTGTGTCACAAGCTACATGTGCCTGTATGTGCCTGTGTCACAAGCTACATGTGTCTATGTCACAATCTACATGCGACTGTATGTGCCTGTGTCACAAGCTACATGTGCCTGTATGTGCCTGTATCACAAGCTACATGTGCCTGTGTCACAAGCTAGATGTGTCTGTGTCACAACCAACATGTGCCTGTGTCACAAGCTACATGTGCCTGTATGTGACTGTGACACAAGCTACATGTGCCTGTATGTGACTGTGACACAAGCTACATGTGCCTGTGTCACAATCAGCCTTCACGCCCTGCAAAATTAATTATAACAGTCCCTGTGTCTAACACTGAAGGGAACCAGGAATGACTATCGTGTTAATAAATAATACCAAATAGGCTGCATATGGGCCAGTAAAATAATGTCATTGCAGCTTATCTTCGTTAAATCCTGCCCAAACCTTCACCGTCTGTATCTCTCCGCGCATACCCCCTTGAACTTCTGCGGTTAACATTCCTACCCTACATTCCGTCTCAGACAGGATGATAGCTATCCTGGCGGGTATTCGTAACGCTCCTCAGTCCTTCCAGGCGACTGCTGACTTTTAGATCCTTAACTAGAACTTGAAATATTTTCCTCCGCTCAGATTTATAATCAAGTGCTCGAATTTCGCCCTGGGAGCAGCAGGATCATATCCAAACACATGTCCTTCCTGGAATCATCATTGTCATAATGACTCTGAAGAATAATATCACATGCTACTCCTCAGAATCACTGGGCTTTAGGACCTTGTCAATCGTCCGGTATTTAGAAAATACGTTTCGGAAAATGGATCTGTCAGGTGATGGGGGAGAAGACACTTACTCAGTTGAGTCCCTTAGAAATCACTGGCCCTGGTTAGCTCCTTCTAAGGGACCCAACTGAGTACATGTCCGGGTTCCGAAACGGTACGTTCTCTAGTTTCTAGAAAACCGGACGATGGACGAAGCACAGAAACCCATTGATTTTGAGTATTTGAGACCATCGTCAGAACCCTTTAGGATTAACATTTTACTCTTAGTTATGATTCTCTCCGGGGCATTACCTCACGTCACGCAATGGAAAATATCTTCCTAACAATCCTGTTCTCAAACATCCTCAATCCGTTACAGTGTAAGCCCTAACTTCGCATCCATGTAAAACAATATGTATACTTGATACCTCGTACAGACCTTTCTAATATTAAGGTCTTTGGATAGAAAACAGAGCACAACATGATTATAAATTCTAACATATAAACATCAAAACAGCAGTGGAAACAACTACGAAATGTGGAAGTCTCAAGAACTCCGAAATACAGTCGACTGGCAATAGAAACACAAGAAATTCTGATGAAACACAGCTAAAGAGGCAGTCAGTATGGCAACTGTATCGCCCAACTCTCATACTGTATCAACCCACAGCGACACCGCCCCCAAAACTGAACATAACGCCTTTATAGGAAACAAATAGAGATGAAGATCGGCTGGATCGAGCAACAGGTGGGAACAGCTGTAATTCCCACCGCACTTAGGTCTCGTTCAGCAAGAAACTGTTCCCTGGGGACGCCAGGCTCATCTGAATATTGTTTTCCCACCCATATTAGTTGGAGCTATCCACACGTTTTCAGTGGGAGCACTCACGCTTGTAATTAAACTGTATTTTAATCTGAAACGCCGTAAATATGACGTCTCAATCAGTGCGTAAAATTGGCATGCCTCTTCGCGCACGGAGTCACGTATTCTGCAGTGGAAAGTGTGTTTCAAACGAACGGTCTGTCTCATTAGTTCTTCGGGAACTCTTGCTGCAATCTGACTGGCATTTCCGTCTCACTGCCCCCATACGTATCTTACCGTGCACGCTGCGACTTCTCCCTCTTGATGAATGTGTAATTCTACTATGGGGGCGAAAAAAAAAACAGGCCGTGGAGGCCCTTAGTGGTGTGAGATGTCGAGGTTCCCACATCTCCTAAACATTCGGCTCACAGATGGCGGTAAAACTGTCGGTCTTATGTGCCGGCAGCCCTCTACCCACCCCAGGAAAATTCCTGGGACTCATTTCTGTTAGAGGCTGAGTAGACCCCAGGATCATAGCGCGGCTGGAAGGATTAGGTCAACTGAAAAAAAAAAATTCAATGACTTCATCGGCTTGTAGCATAGTGTCTCAAACAACTACGCTACCGCGTGTCCCTGCGTGTATCTACTAATGAAAAAACGAGTTATTCCTGTGCTTAATAAAGAGAGTCGGGAAGACGAATGGGACAGCAGACGTGGACGTATAGCCACCCCCCACATGATACTAGATGGAGCTGAGTAGCCAGTTTCACTCCCTGGCTGCATTAATCCTGAGGAAACCCCCAGTATCAAACTGAGATGTTGCGGTCTGAACGAAGTGGTGAGGATAAACCCTCTAACCCCGCTAAGAATCTGGTCAGGGCCGTTCAACCCGCAGAAGGCCGAGCTACCCTGGCTCCTGATACCCCTGACCTTAGATGTTCTTAATGCTTTATTAAATGCGTCAGTCACTTAGCGCTGAACAGCGCGAATGCAGCAACTGATGAACTGAAGCGATGTGGGGCAGGGATGGCCAGTGTCAGCACAATCCTCCCTAACCACATGTTCTGTTGCTACATACCTATGTAGCAAAGAGCTGTTAGCATACAACACAGAATCTTTTTGTCTTCTCGTTTCTATTTTAAACATAAATATTAAAACATTCAAAACCACCTCCTGCTTTTACGCACGTGAAACCTGGCCTCTTACTACGCGAGAAGGAAACGTATTCAGGCTATATGAGAAGAGCATAAAGAGTAACTTAATAATCTTCGCCGAATATTTGGTTGGTAAAGTCAAAGAGGGCCGGTCACGGTAGCCGAGCGGTCTAAGGCATGTACTCTCTTCGCTCGCTGGGAAACCGGGATCGTGGGTTCAAATCCCACTCAGGGCATGGATGTTTAGTTTGTGTGTGTGCGTTTTTCTGTGTTTGTGTACAGGTAGAGGCCTTGCGACGAGCTGATCACCCGCCCAAGGAGTCCTACCGAATGTGTAAGATCTAGAAAAACCAAAGTGAACGGAGAACTTCATGGAGGCAGGCCTAGGCCCACTGTGGCTGTAACGCCAAGGGGAAAAAAAAGTCAAAGAGTATGAACTGTGCGAAACATGGAGAAGTGACACACTCAAACATAATTTTAGTCGCGATATCTGAATGACCCCTTTGGAAATCTAGGCATTGTTATAATGATAATATTAAAATATATGTTAAATCAGAGGTTAGGGTCTGGGCTTATTCTCCTGCCTCAGGATAGAGTTCAGTTACGGAAGTATGTCAAAACAGCAATGAATCTTCAGCTTCCACAAAAAAACGCGGAATTTCAAGATCAAGCGACATACTATCAGCTTATCGGGGAGGACCGTGCTTCATGAAACGATTTACTTCTTTCAGCTGTTATATTGCAGCAGCACCTTTAAGTGGTTATATTATATGAAATTTCCGATGCCCGTTACAAGACAACGCTTCAAGGTTATGTTCAGGAAAGTACAGGCTACCGCTCAGTCAGTATACCGACTAGACTAAGAGTTAGACGACTGGGGCTCGTAGCCACCGCAGTCACCACCAAGCCAGGGTCGAAAATGACGCCTAGCTTGGCACCAACAGCACGACTGGTACTCCCGTAAAAGTGGCCACTGGCAGCTGTGTACATCTGCCTACCGCACATTACCATATTTCAATTGTTGTGACGTGTATGTGCTATAAACATGTATTTATTCGTCTTTATTTATTGTATATCTTCTTTAGCGGCGCTACAATTCTGTGGGACCTCCAGTTGGTTCCGAGTCAAGAAAATGTAGATATAGACATCCACTCCGCCATACGCCTTCATGGCGTAAGCACATGGACAACTTTACATTTACAACCCTGTGGCTTGATCCACGGTCCTCTTTTCATAGGTTCCTTGAGGTTTCAAAACAGTAAATTTTTCAATGTGGAGTTTTTAACCCCATGCCGATCCCCCAACCTGGAGGACCTGAGACTACACTTCGTCTCGCCCTTACGCTTTGCCCTGTCTGGAATGGATGGGCATATCAGGAGCCCACGCTCGCCAGCACAGCTCTCCGTGTCATTTTGGTACCTTTAATACACTTCTAGTATCGAAATCGGCCTGTATCCGTACGTTTCCTCACATGGACTGCTCCACTGCACTGAAGTTACTGTGACATGTTATTACGCCTCTATTTCTCATTTGTTTATAAACTGGACAAAGACATAAAGTCAAGTACCCTTATCTGTAAGTGGAATCAGCGGCACTCACGTGAGCCACGTATAAAAATTACTGACTTTGGCAGTGATACTGAGACGTCGAGGAAATGTGGCTGTAGTCTACACACTCAATGGCACATAAGGACCCAACTAATGCATCACCTCCTTTATTTCTTCAACCAGTTTTATGATTTAGCGGCTTCGTTGCCGAACACACTGACCTCTTTTCTTTGCTTGTCGTAACGGAGAATAATGGGTTATTCATATCTTTTCGAATTTCTCTGAACCAATATAATTAGAAATGGGTGTTTTATAGTGCTGAAAGAGGTTAATATGATAAGATGATGTATGTTTCTGGCTAGCTGCTAGTGCATGAATCTGCGTGTACGTGTACAGTCGGCAGTTGCTACTGCCCTACATCCTCCTATTAGAATTACTAGCTCAATTGTTTCACTGGACTTCCCACGTCCCCTACCTTTATCATTTGCCAATGCACCTTCTATTACGTGATTTCTGCAACTATTATTATTAGATTTGTGTTAATGAAACTATTATTTGTTTACTTGTCTGTATTAATGTGTTTTCCTCCAGTGCTTGCCTTTAAATTTTGTTTGACTTTATGTTGTGATTGCCCATAATGTAATTACTTGTATCTACACTGCACTATGTCTGCAATTGGCCTTGCGGCTGTTGACTCGGCACATAAATGATAAAGAATGGAACTGAATTATATCATTACCGGTATTATTATATTAGGGAGATGTCATATATTGAATATGCCCCTAATGCGGAACATACAAATTAACACTGTGATGTACCGCCAGACACGCTAAATTAGCAGACCTTGAAGCCCAGTAGTGTCGCTTAGACCACTGCTGTTCTTCATTACTGGTGGCAAATCACTCAAGGAGCTGAGAATCCCTGGGTGCAGAAAACGACATTTTTGTATGTTAACCAGGCAAATAAGGTGATTTTGAACATTAACACAACACGTGTTTCTCTGTTTACAATAGTTCCCGAGTTCGCAATCCATATGAGGTAGCATTATGT